AAAAGCATAAAAACAATATATATTAAAGTTAAATCTTTATATACCAAAATTATTAAGTAATTAAGTTTTGTAATAAGCATCATTATGCTTTTATTATATTTTAAACTATTATTTAATATCAATAATAGTTAATAAAATTACAAATATAAAATGTGTATATAATAAGAATTCTTATATTAAAAAAATCCTAAGCCAAATAATTAAAACTGTTAATAGTACATGTATATTAAACCTAATGACATATTATATTCATTATATTTGAATTTAATATAAATAATTTAATTTGTGATTAATTACAGGCAAGTAGCATTTATTTTTGTCTCTGCTATTATCTTTGATTTTATTTTTAAAAGCCTCTGCTATATTAAATATTCTTTGTATATTTTATATCATATATCTAAAATTCTATATTAAAACTTAAATACCAAAAGGTTATTATAATATAAAATTTTTTATTACTATCAAGTTCTTACAACTTTATATCAATAACTTTCTACTTTTATTTTATATACAAGTTCCTTTAATTTTATAAACTTTTAAGCAAGAATTTTAGACCAAAAGTAATTTTTAGTTTAACAAAAAAGATATCTACATATATTTCTTCTTTTTTAATAATTTCTTTAGACTTTTAATAAAAATATATATTGATATTAATATACTGTATACATTATCTAGAAAACTTTATATATATTTAAATATTGTATAATTTTTTAATATTAAAATTTATTTTTTTTCAAAAAGCAAAATTTTAGAATGTGGTAACTTAGTAAAATAAATAAGTTGTCAACTTCCCAAGTAGTAGGTAGTGCATTCAAAATCCATTAATGGCAAAAATTTGGATAATCATCTATGTAATATTTAGATAATATTATAGTGATAGCATTCTAATGATTAGTTAAGATTAGATATCTGTAATATAGTTGCACCAGCATGACTGGCAGGTCATTGAGCATCTGCACAATATTGGAGTTATATAAAAAAATGCAAACCAGCATTAGGTAGTACAAATCTAAAATAAGTCCTCATAGCTATGTAAATTTGTAAACTGAGAAACCAGAGCCTACTGAAAAGACCTAAGTAGAGAGGTAGCACAAATTTTTGATAGTACTACTATAAAGGCTAGATCTAGAAAATGAATACCAATATGAAAGAAATTAGACAGGCAAGAACCTCATATAAGAGGTACTACCAACTAGACCATTAAAAGTCTTGAACTAGAAAAAAAGAACCTTGGAGAACAGACCCTAAAATACCAGAAACAGGTTATAATCCTTCTAGGCTATTTGGATTAAGAGTCTAAGATCAGAAGCAGAGATATATTATAAGTACTAAGGATATGTTATTAAGTTGATGCTGAGGTCTGAATGAACTTTGCAAGGATGAGCCCTGTTAACAAGAAACTAAATGTAGATGGTTAGTTAGCAGAAAGGCCCTATAGAGCCTTACAGTTAGGTGATATACTCTGAAATATGTAATAACTTAGTAAATATACAGACAGAGAGGTCAAGGTTAGGTTAGACAGCACTTTGGTATATAAGAACTTGTGCACTATTTGTTAGTATAAGTATAAAGATCAGAGTGTTTAAATAGGTAATCTCCTAGTAGATAGCAGATATAACAGCTAATATAAAATCTGCTATATAAATAGACTACTTAAAATAAACAACCAAAACTTGTATATATAGCTAGTTGTAGACTCACTTTGTACAAGTTATGTAACTATAATTAAAATACAATAAAGGCAATAGTTGCTAATAATTACAGCCTTAGCAAAAGCAAAAAAAAAAAGCATAATTTTAATAAAACCAGTAACTAATCAGTAATTATTAATTCCTAAATAAATAAATTTTTTTTTAATCAGATCTATAATCTTGAGACTTTTAAAATTTATAGTAATAATATTATTATTGTATAAGTTTTATTTATACTAATCTAAAAATAAATTTCTGAAAATATAAAATAAAAAATATATATATAAACCAAAAAAAAAAACCAATTTATATAATATAAATAAATATTTATAAATTTTACTATTTTATAGAATTATTATTATCTATATTTGGTTTTTTTTTTTTTTTATTTTAAAGCCGATGTTATCAGTAGCTATCACCTTTATTTGTATTTTTGGTCAATGCATTACATGTAACTTGTACAAGGTAAGTGTGCAACTATTTATATGTGTAACTTTTAGTTACCTATTTAAGTAGTCCATCTAAGGGTTCTACACTAGCTGTCATGCCTGTAACCTACTAGGAGAGTACCTATTTAAACACTCTAATCCTTATACTACACTCAGATGAGTAACACCAGGTTTTTATACAACTAAATGCTATCTAACCCAACAATTAACTATCTCCTTTTGTATGTCTGTCAAGTTGTTAAACATTCCAGAATATGTTACCTGACTGTAAGGTTCTGGGGTACCCTCTTGTTAACTACCTACCTACTCTATAGAACATTAACAAGGCTAGCCCTTGTAGAGTTTACCCAAACCCCAGCACCTACTTCATAGCATATCTCTAGTACTTATAATGTACCCCTGCTTTGAGCTAGACTTCCAATCCAGATAGCTTGATAAAACTGTGACCTGTCCTTGATATATCAAGCTGGCATGATATTCTTTTTCTCTAGTTCAGTTCCGGTAGCCTGGTTGGTGGTACCCCTCACCTGATGTTCTTGCCAATCCAGCTCCTCCACATTGGTATCTGTTTCCTAGGTTTAGCCTTTATAGTGGTACTATTGAAGATCTGTATTACCTCTCTACTTGGATTTTTCCAAGTGGGTTCTAATTTTCCAGTTCTACAGATTTACATGACCACAAGAACTTATCTTAGATTTGCACTGCCTGGTACCAGTTTGCATTCCTCTGTATTGCCAAGGTTATACAGATGCCTCATGACCTGCCAGTTATGCTAGTGTGATCATAGTTACAGGTATCCTATCCTAACTAATTAACAGAATGCTGTTGCTGTAATACTGTCTATGTTTTATATAAATGATTATTCAAATTTTCATCATCAGTATGTTTTGAACTTACAACTTACCACTTGGAGGGTTGACAACTTATCCACTTTACTAAGTTACCACACCCCTCTATATTTGTTTATAACTTCTTTTTCTTATAAATCAAACTATATGTTATATGTTTTTTATTTTTTTGATAACTTCATAACTTTTACTATTATTAGATAATTCTTTTTTTTTTTTTCTATATTATTTGTGAACTTGACTTCTGTGTAACACTTCTAATATTTTTCAAATTCTCATTATTTCTATTTATAGCATTGCTTTTTTTATATTTTGATAAATATAAATTATCTAAAAACATTTTATATTAATGTTTATTTATAAAATTATCTAATAATGCTTTAATATTATAAATACTTTTTACACTTTTAATGTTCTAATGAGTAAACAAAAATTTAATTATACAAACTTTATTGATGTTGTCTGATTTTTATTATTACTAATATTTATTCTAAGAATATCAATATTATTAATTTTATTAGCATATATATAAAAATTATCTCTAATAATTTCCATTATGTTAGCTACAAAAATAATTAATACTTTATAATTTAAAATATTTTTAATATAGTAAACCTTTATATATAATAAGAATAAATAATCTTAACAATAAACTTATAATTGCAAATTATATAATCACTATCTCAAAAATAATATTTATATTGTTATCAATTTTGTTTAACATTCTTTGAAGAATATTGACCAAAGAGACTTTTAAAAGACATTTGTTTAATAATAGATCTTATTAAGTATTTTTAAATATGTAGATAATAAAACTATTATCTAAAAAAAATAGACATATAAAAATAACTTGTTAAAAAAACTTATTAATATATTTTATATAATGAATAAAATACCTTTAGCCTAACATCATTATTATATTTTCTAAGAACAATTTCTTTTAACAGAATAGAATTCATCTTTCTCAAATATAGCTTGTGTATTTAGATTTCTCTCTTTACTATTAATCAGCACAAATAATACTAAATTAATAAAACAATCTTCATTACTAACAGAATACATTCTGATGGCCTATACTTAAATCAATTCTGCTTCTTCTTTTATATTTTATTTGCTAAACTTAATTTTTACAATAGTGTCTGCAAAACAAGACATATTAATAATAAATTTATCAAAAATTACAAATCAAAAAAAATAAAGCAAAAAATTATAAATCAGCAAATTAAAAAATTTTATAAAATTTGTAAAAATAATGTACTTTTTTTTTAATCATTTTTAGCACTTATAAATAAGTATAAGATATTGATCATACAATAATTAATATTATAAAATTTGTAAAAATGATGTACTTTTTTTTTTAATCATTCTTAGCACTTATAAATAAATATAAGAGATTGATTATACAATAATTAATATTATAAAATTTGTTTTGTTAGAGCAAATGATTGGCTGCATGTGCTACATAGCAGCATGTTTTAGCTAATAATTTGCCCAAACAGAACAAATTTTATAATATTTATTATTGCATAATCCAATATTAATGTTATCATACAAATATGATCATAATTTATAAGTTGTAATTGGCTAACTAAGTTTTAATTTGGAATTGTTGTGCTTATGTGATAATATACAAAAAATAGCAAGAAGAAAAAAATCTATGATCATATGAGTTTGCATGATAAGTGTAAGTTATCTGACAAACTTATATGATCATAACACAACAATATACTGTTATTTTTTAATGCAAAATAATATAATAGCAAATATTTATTATTTGTACAAATAGCATAATATTTGAACCAATATTATTTAGCAAAAAACCAATATTTGAACAAAATCACTCAAAATTAGTATAATTTAAGTAACTATATTGTATAAATAAAAAATTAAGCAATTAAAATTATTAATTATAATGCATTTTTAATATTTAAAAATTAAAAATATAATGATTAAAAGTATTTTTAGTAAGAAATTTATTAACAAATTTCTTATTTTTGAAATCTTTAATATTCCTAACCTTTTCTTTTTTGTCTATCCTTTTTAATATCCTTAATTTTCACTTTTTGAGTATCTTTTTCAAGAATATTTATATTATATTTAGCCAATATATAACTTAATTTATTAGGAGATACCTTAAGATTATCAAATGCATTAACTAATAATATCTGAGAATTAGTCCTTTGAACATATGTACTTGCAAGTACAAAATTACCAGTTACTAAGGCCATCTTTTGATGATTGTTAAAAGCTTTTCAGTTATTAAGAACAGTATAATTACTAAAAACAACATAATTACTAGAAACAACATGATTACTAGGAGTAGCAAGATTATTGAAGACAACATTATTACTGAGAATGTTATTTTCATAGTCACTAGGATTATTTTTTTTATAATTACTAAGAGTATCTTTTTTATGATCATTAGAAACTTAATAAAAAAAAATTTTTTTAATTAGTAATGCTTTATAAAATCTTAACAAAAATTAAGTTACATACTTTTTAAAACTTGTTTTAATGTATTAAAAAATCCACTTAAATCTTTATATTGCATTACAGATTTTGGGTATTTATACATGGTGAAACCTTTTTGAAACTTGTGGCTTATGATTAATATTATAACTAAATTAGAGCATTCAAGTTTCTTTAACAATTGCATAGCAGTTTTTTTCTAATATAATTTAAAATATTGAAGGTTTTTGTTTGAATGTCTGTAATCTCACATATGGTTTTAAAATATTCTTTTAACTTTCATTTACCAAGGACATGAACATAATACCATTGTTTATTAAATTTGACTAGTAAAAAAAAAATTAGTAAATATATATTTATAGTAAAATTGTTTAAAAAATAAAAACAAAAAACTTTACTTGAGTTTAAAACTGCAAGAATTAGATAAAAATTTGTAACTGCCATCATCAGGTACTTGATAAAATAAACTTATAATTATTGATAATGCTTTTAATATTAAATAAACTAATTATTTCTGCTTGCACATTATAATTTTCAAGTTCTTATTGGTTGGTTTTAGATTTATAAAGCTTTACATCAATTTCACTATTAAACCTTTTAATAAAGCTATTGATTTGGAGAGAATAATGTTCACCTCTACATAAGGCCAACAATACCATATTATAAAAAAAGATCTTTTATAATAAGCCATTAGGTGTATTATGTTGCATCTTAGAGTGGTTCAAGATTTGTGCAACTTCATTTAATGTTAGGCCATTAGCCTTAGAACATTTTTCCAAGCCTTTTTTAGAGAGAGTTTTCAACTTTCTATTAATTATTTAGTTTAAATTAAAGTACACCTTTGAATTAAGTATATTTATAGGTTTTTCATAATTGAATGCAAGTTGAGGTGCTGCCAAATTGCTGCCAAACAACTTCTTAAAGAGTTAGCATAGTATTTTCTATTATTCTTTCTCTTTATTACATATATGAACTTGAAAAGTTACTCTTTCAATACCATTTTAGAATTAATTTCTTTAATCTTTTCTTTATATTCTATTTCACAATAAAACTCCTCCACAATTTTGATCAATATTTATATTACTTTATGGGTGGTTTTGACCTTAGAATTTTTGTAAAGTTCTTTAAAATTATTTATAGAAGGTTTCATGTATTTAACATACTAATAAATCAACACATTAATATAATTTTTACATGTAAAAAGAAAATAAAAAAACTTTATTTATCTTCATCTTGCTACCTTTCAATATTGCTGATTTTTTTTTGAGCATTACAGTTTTACTGGCTTTGTTATTATGGTTACAGATTTGCTGTTATGGATCAGACTTATTGTAAGCACCAAATTTCAATAAGACTTAGACTTCTAACACCACAACTTTCAATACTATGACTTTTAATACATAAGAGTTTTGATATCATGACTTCTAATACAAACTTTCAATAACAAAAACTTGAATTTAAATAAATGTCAAATAAAAATTAAAATTTTTTTTTTTTTTGTTGTAGAAAGAAAGTAAGTTTTATACTAATCTACTATCTTTTTTTAACTCTAAATAGTATTTATAGGAGCAGGTGGATCAGGTCATGATTATAAATTGTCAGATAACACAATTATACAACAAATTGATAAATAATGTATACATATTGGTTATTTAGCATGTTTTAACTAATTATTTGCCCTATTAGAACAAATTTTATAATATTTATCATCACATGATCCAATATCAATATTATTATATAATTATAATTATGATTTATATGTTATGATTAGCTAACTGAGGTTTAAGAATAGAGTGTACATAGATTATTTTTATATAGTTTTGTATATCTTTTTAAAATTTTCAACTAAAATTAATATATATTACTAATAAAACTTTTTAATTTTTTAATTAATTAAAAAAAAAAGTTTATAATATTATAAATAAAATTATTTATCTATTATAATAAAATTTTGAATTATTGTATTATTTTTAAAAAATATACTTGTATATATGATAAAGTTTTCTTAGATTGGTTAAAATTTTCTTAGATAGTACAAAATTAAAAAATTTGATTGGTTAATTTATGTAAACCTATAAGTTAATTTTATTATATAATTTTATATCCTAATGTTTAAAAATTAATATCTTAATGAGTTTTTACTCAATTTTAATAATTTTGCTATCATTAGAATCAGAAAGACCTACTCCACAACTTTTACTTAATAATTCAAATTAGTTTACTTAATATAGTTGTTTATAAATTTAAATATAAAAAAGAATTACCACTAAGTTTATATATAATTTTAAAATGGTACACTCTACCCTTAAATTTGGGTTAGATTAAGCTAAAAAAGAATTTAGAATTAAAAGTATTTACAAAATTATGAGAGGAATGTTTTTCGTTAGAGCACAAAAGCAGTTTCATGATCGACAAAACCTGTCAGATTTCTCGCTTGCGTGATCTGCGCCACAATGATCGACAAATCCTGGCACAGAATTTTTTCGTGCATTTACTAGCGGAATGATTTGGTATTGTAAAATAATTTTTTTTTATATGTTGCACACCGGGTGAAGGATCAGTCGTGTAACATCAACGTTCTTCCTGTTCATTTTAAAGATTGAATCATAAAAAAATCAGTAACTGATATTCAAATTTAGTTATGGGTGTCGCTAAAAAAAAACCAGCGCATTTAGAAATAAATTTATTATATTTTATATAATAATACTATTTTTAGATGTCCTGGTTTTCTTTTAGCGACACTCATATATTAAAAATGAAGTTATAGGTTTTATAATATTTAAAATCCGAAGGTACGCATCTATTGGTTCTTGAAATATTCTAATTCAAAAGTTTTTTTTCAACTGAAACATAATAATGAGAGTTTATATTAAAGGTGATATATGAGGGAATTTAGATATCTAGAAATTTATAAAAATTTGGTTTGTGGCTTGGGTTGATATTAATGAGTGTCAACTGTATTGAAATTACAGATTCATCCATTCTTGGAGTCATAGACCTGTAACTATAACAATATTAATAATTCATCTAAAATAGGATCATTTTTAAAACCATGAACTCTTACCATTAAAATTATGAACTCTTGTTGTTAAAATTATAAACTAACAGGAATTCTATTTTGACCCGGGTCAAAATAACTCAACAGGGGTATTTTCATATTATATAATGCAAACTATTACGGAGTCTATAATAGTTTGTGTTATGCAATACGGATATACCCTCTGTTGGGTTATTTTGGCCCAGATCAAAATATAATTTCACTTTTTTAAAATAATGATAAGTGTAAAAAAGAAAAAAAAACGGATAGTGGGTATAGCTAGCAATGTGCCATTTATATGATAACCGAATTTTTTTAGCGTAAAGTACAGTACTGGGATGGAAGTAAATCAAAACTATGTGAGCAAATTATAGAATTTGATATATCACAGATTTTTCACGTTACACGGATGAAAGCAAGATCAGAAATATGCTCGCTACTTTTAAGACTAACGCTTTAAAATGCTCTATTTCAACTCATTATTGAGGCATGGAATCACCTTGAAATTTTCACAAGCTGTTTATAAACCGTATAAAAATAAAATTGTGTTTAAAATTCTCTATTAATATGTGATTTTGAGGTATTCGTCTTGCAGAACGCTCTAAATTTCATCAATTGGAACGAGAAAACTATCTTAAACGTTCAAGTCAAAATTTCATTAGAATATTGCAAGCAACAAGCATAATTACTTTGAGATAGTACTGGCACAATGTTTTCAATCGAAAGAAATTAGATAAATCAGTACAATATTTATGCGAAAACTTTAGAATTTCACGCTTTCTTTATAGTTTAAAGGCCTAAAATCGTTCGATCGATCATTTTTTAAATTTGCTGATAAAAATCTAATCATAGTAATTAGGGACCGCGATTTAAAAAAACAAACCCTGCCAAAATCCACCTATACTCTTTCGTTACCACATGTACAGTGCGTATCTAGCAATTTGATTGGCTGGTAAAAAGGATCGGCAAAAATTTTCGCGTGCAGTATGTATCAGATATGGTACAGTACGTACGTATAGTACTGTACGCAGCACATCACTTGGTACGTATAACTATTAAAGAAAAGACCAGTTTATTTCTATGTATAGCGATAGCAATAGGTGCCGGCGTTGACAATTTTTTGTGGCCAAATATTTTCTTCCTTTTGCAGCCAACCGACCAATGACTAACGTAAGTATTCTGGAAAAAGCTACGGCGATCAAGCTTCAAATAATTATATAAATCTATAAATAATGGCACCGGCTTTACGTTTTACCGATTGTTGCTCCTAAATATGGCTTTTTGTTAAACATATCTTTATGTATACCAGATTCAAATTCAAACATTAAGCATAAAATAATAACATCAATAGGCTAAAAAAGATCAAAAGGCTAAAAAAGATCAAAAGCATGCATATTTGCATAAATAATTCAATTTAGTGTAACATAATACAGTCGATATGTAAACGTGTAAAATTCGTTCTATTTAAAGGTTATAGTTCTAAGTTATTGTGGTTATAAATGTAAAGAAATATTTGATATTTCTTATAATTGCTATTCAATCATCGTAAGACAAACCTAAACCTGAGAGGTATATATTATTAAGAACTTATAAGATTAAAAATTTCAAGGATTCATTTAGTAGAGCAAATTGGAAAATCTTTGTTCATACCTTAATAAACCAAGTTTAACTTTTTCATATGTTGCAACTTTATTATGTTATTTAATTATATTACTTTTTCAAATTAATAATTTTATTTAAATTTGCCATAAGAAGAAATGGAATATTGGTGGCACCCTTATATAATTTTATGCATGTATATACACGCATCTGGAGTAGCTACTGAACTGGCTCCTTACAAAATTAAGCAATTGAAATTGATTTTTATGCATGCATTAAGCAATAATTTTAGCCAGGTGCTACTTCAGATATCTAAGTAGCTAGGCCGTTATTCCAGACGCAACCATATATCTCTATGCTATTTTTACAATTACTAGCACAATAGCGTATACCACAACTTCATTTTGAAACTCTAAATTGCCAAAAAAAAAAAACTTAATCTTGACAATCTAATACTGCTATATAAAGATATTCGTGCATAGTTTCAGAATTCTCGCCACATGGCATTATTTTTTGTTTGGCAATAAAATACTCGCATATTAATCTTCCAGTTTATTTTATTTTTAAAAACAGCGACTATGTTAACTAGTGGCAAAGAGAAAAGTAAAAAACCTGTCCTTCTGCAAAATGTTAAAATCAAAGCAAAAGGTATAATAATTCTTATAAAGTATCATACTTCATTCAATATTCAAAAAAAAGCTTTAGTCAGTAATTTCTAATATATATATATATATATATGCTATTAGTGATTGATATGATAGCAAAAGGTACGAAATTATTATCTGGGGGTTTTTACAGCAAAATCTCAACCTTGCTTCACTAATTTTTCTTTTTTTTCAGTTACTCTTTCTCAAACATACAAAAACACAACAAAGGATAAGTTCGATGCAACTTATGAATTTATGATTCGAAATAATGTAGCAGTTTGCGGATTTGAAGCTACAATTGATAACAAAAGAAAAGTTATAGGAATAGCTAAAAGAACTGAACAGGCCAAACGTGAATTTAAAGAGGCCATCAGTGTAAGTACTTTTTATAAAATTGCACACTCTCTAAAATGCTGAATTGTCACATCCACAAGACTAGTGATGTGCCACGTACAGTACTATACGAAAATTTTTGCCGATCCAGCCAATCAAATCGCTAGATAAACACTGTACGTACTGTACGTGAATAAAATTGGGGTATCATATAAATGGCACATCACTACACAAGACCAATATTACCAGCCAATTTTTCAAGGTTAAATTTAAAGGATCCCGACAAAAAATCCCGATAATTAAAATCCCAATAGTTAAAATCTCGACAATTTGTGTGGCGCTTATGCTAAAATTTAGGGTCTCTATTTAAATTTATAATACCTAAAATCAACACATACTTTTTATTAACAATACCACCCTCTGACTCTAACATGACTATGAAAAAAAGTCAACAAAAAAAGCCATCAAAAATTTTACAATTTCGTAATAAAATACGATAAAATTTCAGCATAAGCCAATTTGAACATAATCTGCCACAATTAGAATTGGAAAGTCTTCACTTTTTTTTTCTATTTTAGTTTCTTGAGATTTTTAACTATCTGGGTTTTTTTGTTGGGATTATGACCTATCTGAAGTGATTGTCGGGATTTTGAACCAAACCCGTCTGGCTTTACCCCAAATATAGAAAATGAAAAAATGAGTCGGTAATATTGGCCCCATTCGATATGTTATGGTACCTGGAAAATTTATTTTTCCAGTTGACAAAATGACGAACTCTAATGAGCTTATGTCATTTTCATTCTGTCTAAATTTCGTTGGTTTCGTCAGAATCACTAGTCAACGGCATGTGTAATGTTTAGAAACTATGCTATAATTACGCCTATAGATTCTAAATAATTTATACAATTATTATATTTTATGAACGTTATTTACTAATCTAAAATGTTATATATTATTAAATCATTAAGCAAGGTCGTGGAGCTTATTTACTTGAAGAAAAACCAAATTCTGAAGTGTTTGAATGTTCTGTTGGTAACATTGAGCCTGGTCAAAAAGTTGTGATCAAAATTAAATATGTGACTGAGCTTCAACATTGTGCAGAAACAGATAGTATCTCGTTCACTTTGCCAGCTGCTATTGCCCCAAAATATGGAACACATATTTTTAATCACAGAAAGATGCGTTGTGATGAATCTTCAGAATCGAAATATCACGAACTAAAGCTTTCCATAACTTGCATGATGAGTTCACGAATTTGTAGTATAAAATCACCTTCTCATAAAATCAAATTCACCGAATTAAATGATAAGCCTGAAGTTACTCTAGATGAAACTATTCATTATTTGGAAAAAGATTTCATACTTCTTATTATAAGTCAAAATATTGATAAGCCTAGGTAATTATTTTAAAGATTATATAGAAAATATGTCAGATTTATTAAGTACTTGAATTTTTTCAATGCAATCTTAGAGCATTCGTAGAATATAATCCCAGAACTGGAACAAATTGTTTAATGCTTACCTTGGTTCCAACATTCAAGAATAATTCAATTGATTATAATTCAATCAGGGCGGAACTTATATTTATCATTGACAGGTAATTACTATAACTATAAAAAAGTGTTTATTCCATCATTACAGATAACTAATAAAAATCGTGATATTTAAAGTTCAGGATCCATGAAAGGTAGATCTATTGAAAAGGTATCCAAAGCACTTCAATTTTTACTTCTTTCTATTCCAGAAAGTTGTTTCTTTAACGTGATATCAACTGGACACGAAAAAGATTCAGAAAGATGTCTTTTTAAAGAAAAAAGTCGGCCATGCACAAAAGAAAATATTGTAAAGGCTATTGAAAAAGTTCAAAAAATAACTGCAAGAGGTGGTACATATATTTATGAAGCTTTAGAGTGGGTATTTAAAAAACATTCACATCGTAATGAATCTTCATTTCCTGATATGCCAACATCAGTTATTTTGTTCTCGGATTTTGAGACATCAAAAGTTGATAAGATTACTGATCTTATAAAAAAGAACCAAGAAAATAACAATAATTTAAGAATATTTTCAATTGGAATGAACAATTCCATTTCTCACCATTTTATCGAATCTATCGTTCGAATTGGTAAAGGATATGCACAGTATGTGTCAAATTTAGAACAAATGAATAGAAAAGCAATGATAATGCTTAGGAATTCTTTAAATCCACCTATTACGGATTATGAAATTACATGGGTCGAAGATTCTGATAAAACATCTCAAAAAAGCAGCGACAAATTTCGACAAGCTCCATTAAAAATCCCAGAATTATATATTGGTGTTCGTTTTATAATTTATTGCATTTTAGATAAAGATGTTAAACCAAGTACACAAATTATAATGAAATCAAAATCTCAGGGTTCTTTAACCTTAAAGTTGGATACAATACCAATTAAACAGGGATCAATAATTCACACACTTGCTGCCAGGAAACTAATTCAAGAAATTGAAAACAATGATCCCGAACACGCTCGTGATCAAATTATAGAATTGGCAGAATTTTATAATTTAAGTTCTAAGTATACTAGGTAATGTTTTTGGCTTTATTTATAATGCTTAAGTATTTCGCTAACGACTTATTACTTTGTCCAAATAGTTTTATTGCAATTGACCAACCAATTATTGAAGATGTATTTAATATAGACAAACTTGATGATCATGAGAAAGCTGAAGCATTCATAATCGTTGAAGAATCATCCACTCCCAAAAAATGCAAAGAAATCATCGAGGATCAAAAAGATGATGGTTGTATTGAATTAAGTGACACAGTTTGTGATGAACTAGATGCACCTAAAGAAGAAATTATTATGACAATTCAAAAGAATATTACGGATAAGAAGCTTCAATTACCTAATCGTCCATCAGTTCTTGAAACTGCAATCAACCTTTCGTATCTTAAGAAAGCTGCATCTAAGCATGAAGATGAATGGAGAGACAAATATAATAAAGCCCGTGAATATCTTTCAAAACAAATAGGAGATGCAAATATCGAAAATGAACTTGAAGAATACGCGGATAATTATGTAATCGAGAATTGCATTAAGAAGGTGATTAAAAATAAAAGGAAAAAGTCAATTCGTGAGGTGCAAAAGTCTGCCACACTAAAAAAATGCGATGACATAGTGTCTAATCAAAAAGATGATGGATCTTTTGAAGTTAGTGAGACAATTTGTAAAGAAATAGACGTTCCAGTTACCAATGTAGTAACTGAAATGAAAGAATGTACACAAAATCCAAAGCTTAAATCTCTAGAATCAGAACCTTGGTGGAAGACAGCACTCACTACTAGCTACCTCAATATCGCTGCACCACATCATAAAAAACAATGGGAAGATAAACATGATAAAGCTCGTAAATACCTTTCTGATCAGATTGGTGAACCTGCTACTGAAAAAGAATTATTAGATTGCACTGATAAATATATCATTGATAATATTTTCAAAAAGGTTGTACCAAAACGAAAAGATGATGGCAGCACTGATGAATCAGTACGTAAGGAACAAGAATTTATTGATAATATTACCAAAAAAGGTGAAAAAGATCATAAAAAAGAAGCTGCAATTGCTGTTGTTCAAGAATCAGACTCTCCCGATAAACATGAAGAAATTGTATCTAAACAAAAAGACGATGGCAGCATTGAAATTGATGATTCAATATGTAAGGAATTACATGTTCCTAAAGAAGAAATTATTGATAATATTACCAAAAAAGTTGAAAAAGATCATAAGAAAGAAGCTGCAATTGCTGTTGTTCAAGAATCAGACTCTCCTGAGAAACATAAAGAAATTGTATCTAAACAAAAAGTCGATGGCAGCATTGAAATTGATGATTCAATATGTAAGGAATTACATGTTCCTAAAGAAGAAATTATTGATAATATTA